ACGAAAAAAGTTATAAATTGAATCTTTACTATCACTGAGCATTCTACAGCATTGATTATATCATCCATCGGTAAAAAACAGAATTTCATCATCATACTAACGTTTGTTTACAGAGAAAGCTACTTGCAAGAGCGTACCTTAATATGTTTTTAGAACACGGTATCTAAGGTTTCAAAATGAGCTGACATTTGCCCAAAGGATAACAAAAAACTACAAAGAGCGGGGATCTTTATAAAGATAATTTACAGTCAGACATGTTGAGCAATCTGAAATCTACTTCATTTGCTATAACAGATGATCTATAAAAAATGAGTTACTTTCGTAACGCGTTTAATAACCATATAGAGGTGTCAACCTAAACTCATTTGATAGAATACTTAATTCCTTACAAGATCACCGAGTTTGGCTTGTCATATGAGGCTTTTCTTTAAAAAAAAGCGACAACAATCTACTCTGAAGAAGAAATAAACAACCATTGACAAACTGCAACGAAAAACGAATAACAGCAAACCGTAAGCTGTGAGAAAGCACCCTTAGAGCAAAATTTCAGATGCTCAGATTCGTGGTAAAAGCTTTTCAGTAGAACATGTCTATAGAATATATCATGTTCTTCTGAGTGTCGTATTTGTTTAGTTAAACTTTTCTAGTTAAGACCGGTTGGTGGATGACACTATGATACTTAGCTTAAAACTCTTGAACTATGTAAATAACTTGATTGGAACCAATACACATACTTGACAGCTTTAGACTAACCCTCGATAGCTCTACATGATTAGGCATGCAACGGTAAGGATAATTTATCGGTTTATCGTTGTCGGTATCCTACCGATTATCGGTCCTTAATCGTCTTCTCAAGACGATCAAAGTCAACACATTTTTCTGCTATTTGGCTTAATAGGCATTATACAATAGAATTTTGACCAAAGTTGATTCAAAACAGTTATTTTTAAATCCCTCAGTTGGTACTTTCCTATGCCTCAAGTTTTTGTTGAATTCCCGGATGCTCCAACAGTTAAATGTTGCTTTACTGGAAAGATAGAACCTCATCCAGTGAAGTTTACGGATTAAGGATTATTTTGATATGAAAAAGCTTATACAAATATAAAGTAAAATAAAATAAAGCTATCGAGCTAACTCTCAAAAAAGAAAAACACCGGTTTCTTCTGTTTATGATAGGATAAGCAATCCAACTATACTCATTCTAATATAACAAGTTCTGCTATTCACTTGTTTCACTTTCACTCATGAAACTAACAAGTTCTTGCTAGTTTCATCCTCCAGAAAATGTTTATTTGATGGATAAAACAAGAACATTTAATATAAAATGCTCTGCTTCAACGAGTAGTTTCCAACGCAGTTCTTATGTCAAGTTTGCTTGCTGCCAGCAATAATTGCTGATTGGCAATTCCAGCGAAGCTTTTTTATGTCAAAAAAATACTCCGATTGGTTTTTTACTATAGCTATTCTACAGAATGTAAAAAATCCTAGATTTTCAAACTACGAAAAATAAGGACTGCTTTCTGCTTTTCATGAAAATTTTAATTACATCCAACATATATGGAGAAACGTTTTGATCAACAAAACTTAGAAAACTAGAATGAGAATTGTTGCAACAATTTTGATGCAATCCAGTATGGATAGATCTTGCGAGTTGATCTTTCATATGATTCAGAAAATTTTTAACTTTAATGACACAATGAAAACGGATTTTATTCAAGTATACAAACATATTTTAGATCAACACACAAAGCAAACAGACATAATACGATAGAAATCGACAATAATCTATGCTAGTTTAATTCGATTCAAATTCACTTTTTGTTTTCTGCCTCTTTCTTTCACATAGCAGTGGAGAAGATTAGGATGCTAACTGACTGATGCTAATACTCCTACATGGCAACATTTGACTACATAACAGCAAGTTACATACATTGATGAATCCATTTTCTTGTCTTGAAAATAAATTCATTACTGCAAAGTAATAATTACGTAAAAACTGACGATTATAAAATTCAATAACAAAGAAGTTTTGCATTTTCCAACTTTGATGTGAACAAATGAGAATGCCTCTTATTGATCCTTTTTCGTCTTAGGCCATATCATGGTCCAAAACACGCTTTCTAAAAAATATATTCCTTTAATTTCGTACACGGAGGTGAGTCAGCGAGTACCGTTTCAGTCCCTAGAAACATCACAGTCATTGATAAGAGAAATGGTGGACCGGTTTTCTTCAAACTCAACATCATCCCTATTTGTTCGACTTTTTCCAGGTCAACTCAGCTTTAATTCTTATAACGTTTTCTTTGAAAGATCTATCTTCTAATAATGTGATGATATTTTCAAACGAGGCTTGCTTGTATATTCTGGTGAGTTTTCTAATTGATCGTTCATTAATCTTTACGCTATTTCCACTGACACTGTATTCCACTAGAGCACATGTCTCATCACCAAGAAAAACAATAAGGAATCAAAAATAATCACGAATTAGAATAATAAGACATCAAAATTAATAAGCAATCACATATAATTAAGAAGCAAAATTAATAACAAATCAAACATAATAAGGGATTAAAATCATAAGATCTTTCTGATGTGAAATGAAAATGAATTGATGGCCTTTCCTGCTGATATGAAAATGAACTCTTCGTTCTGCTTGATAGACAAAAAAAACATCTAAAAGTTAATTACTGTATATTTACTCTGATAGCATGTCAAACACAATGATAATTCTGTGAAAATGGGCAAGAAGAAAATTTATGGGCAACAAACATGTCGCATTCAACAGTGTCTCGATACGCTCGTGGATCGATTCAAGAAGAAAGAGATCGACGTGATCGACTACATCCAAGGCCTGTCGCTTTTGGTCGCAAAGAAGAAATAATGTTTCAAATCTTTCAACGTTAGTTTTAACGTTTTCATCTTGTTAGTCTGCTAGTCATCTATGTTGTCTTTATAATTACTCCAGCTGTTATTTTTTCCTCTATCTGCTCAATAAAATCAAAAAATAAATTGGTGCTCCTGAGCATTAGTAATTTTTTCACGCATATTTCTCAACAAAATATTCGTCGACAAAATCACTTGTCGACCAATTATGCGTCGACGTAAAATTGTCGACAAGAAATTCTTTCGACAATCAAGTGTCGCCAAAAAATTGTCGACAAAAGTGCCAGTCGACAGAAATTAGTCGAGGAATGATATACATACCGTTGCAGCTAACCACTTACAAGAAAATTCCCTTAATAAATCATCAATTCTTGTCATAACAAACAATGTACAATATTCAGAAGCACATTTATGAGGCTACTTTGTGTGATAAATAGCCCCGTTCTGAGTCTTTCCCTATATAGATCTTTGCTCGATTACAAATCGTATGTTGAAAAACTTGACCCCATCTACACCCCTATATATTTACGACGTTATTAGACAGTCTTTTTGATCTACTGTCTATCCTTCCGAGCACCCCAATATATCGAGGATAATATCGGGATGTGCTAGATACGATGTCCAATATATTCATATAACCCGATAAAAGTCGCACCTGTACCTAGATATTTCATAGTAGTATTGTCCTATGCCATAGTGAAAAATGCAGGTCGCTACCTATCTTCGTTGAAAAGTTGCAAGTATTTCAACTCGCTCTTCTCGTATTTTAAAACGGATACTATTACACTTACTGATTATACTCAACAGAAAATGCTATAATAATGATTCCAATGATCACTCTGAATGATCATTGTGATTCTCATGGTCGATCTGATCAAAATGATCAGAATGTCGACTTATGAATGGTACAACGGAATTAAGAGCTACAACAGTTATTGGAGATGTTGAATTAATGTATGATTGTAATTCGTCAATAGAAGTTTGATTATAAAAGGTTTCGAACGAAGAATAGAGAACAGATCCTATTGGATAACAACTAATGTAAAGACCATGAATTTTGAATAAAATTTGACGAGTAAGAGAAGTACTATATAAATTCAGCTGTACAGCACATTTCAATGAGGTGTCACAACTACATTTTGTTTGATTTTTATCAGGAAATATAACATAAATGTATGTAAGAAAAATGCTTGTCATTGTGATGAATACTGTCTGTATCAAATTAAATTAAGACAAATGACATTTCGTACATGAACATAGCTGATTTGTTGGTCTCGATACTCAAGATACTGGAGAACTAGGAAAAATTCCAAAACGTTGACGTACTATTAAAAGTCACCCAGTATCCCCGTCACACTCCATCTTTGATCTTTAGATTCTTTTATCAATCTTATAGCCTTTGTAACGAGGATTCGAAGAAAATTATGGAGAAACGAAGAAGAAACGCTCTTCCACTTGTTTAGTCATGTCGGAAACTGATTTGAAAAAGAGACTGTCTGGAACTCCAAGACGTACAAGTTTATTAAGCTCATCCGAATTCCTTCTCTTGTTAATAAAACAAAAGGGTTTCGCTCACATTACTGATAACGTGACATGCTTCATCTTGTCTCTAGATGCAAATTCATTTTGACATTGATGCCATCCCAAATAAAGAAACCGTCTTTTCCCGTATGGGTGCGAAAAGAAAGTTCAGAAACGACTTAGTAGAAACGAGTATCACTAATAAAACTTCTCAACGAAAACAATTATACAAATTACAGTTAGCCTAGAAACACCAAAGAAGCGAATAGAATGTACACCATTGGAACAAGGTTATGTATTTGATGTTACTGAGAGTCAAATTGTTGCATCTCAAGTGAAAACCTTAGGATGCTAACTGACTGATGCTAATACTCCTACATGGCAACATTTGACTACATAACAGCAAGTTACATACATTGATGAATCCATTTTCTTGTCTATAGTCTTGAAAATAAACTCATTACTGCAAAGTAATAATTACGTAAAAACTGACGATTATAAAATTCAATAACAGAGAAGTTTTGCATTTTCCAACTTTGATGTGAACAAATGAGAATGTCTCTGATCGATGATTGTGTAGATGTGAATAAGAGATTTCACTTACCTGATTCTCTGGTTCTTGGATCTTTGATTCTTAGTATTAGTTTAATGATTGATGGTGTTATAATGATTAACACAGTTGATAATCCATCGATTGTTTCAATAACATTTACAATTGCATGCATTAGATTTGTCCATCGCTTCACATACGTATAAGTACAATTAAATGGTAAACATTGATTATAATAGTTCTCATAACTAATATCTGAATGCCATTGTTCAATCATTAATTCATTTAAAATGTTTTCCATCGTTGTATTCTGTGAATATTTAGTTGGCAAAGATGAATTAAGAGCTACAACGGTTATTGGAGATGTTGAATTAATGTATGATTGTAATTCGTCAATAGAAGTTTGATTATAAAAGGTTTCGAACGAAGAATAGAGAACAGATCCTATTGGATAACAACTAATGTAAAGACCATGAATTTTGAATAAAATTTGACGAGTAAGAGAAGTACTATATAAATTCAGCTGTACAGCACATTTCAATGAGCTGTCACAACTACATTTTGTTTGATTTTTGTCAGGAAATACAAAATAAACATAATTAACGGGTAAATGAATATTACCATCAGTTATAAAAGGCACAGAGGATGTTGCTGTACCACTCAATAGCCTATTACTATGGAACGTATGACGGATTAAACTAAACGTTTTTAAAAATGAACGCTTTGTTTGCGTTTTAAATAAATCAATGAAGGCATCCGTTTCTAATAAAAATGAATCTTTTGTTATCAGTGTTGGACTAACCAGTACTGCAGTGCGTACATGAGCTAATGCATCAAAAACAGTTTTACGAACCATTTTACAAAGCGTTGATAGCGCCTGAAAGAAGCTTTGACCATATTTTCGAAAATCCAAAAAAAAATAATCATCATCAATAGTATTTGATAAATAATCGAGCCATTCATCACTAATAAAGTCACTTGAACATAGTTGATGAAATGTGGGAGATATGGATAGAAAAGTTTTATACGATATTGTTTGATGTGAACATGGACATTTTAGATTGTCTGAATATTTTGTCTGTAACTTTTTATAGTCAAAATATGTTAATAAACCAGTGTGTTTTGTTACTCTTTCTTTTGACTGATAAATTGTTGTATAACTAACGAATGCAATAAAAAAAATAATGAATAATACTACATAGAGACGAGTGGCAATCAACTGGTATCGAATATGTTCAATTTCATCATCAATACGTGATATTGACCGATTATTTTTGTATAAATTCAATCTTTTTATGAATAAAAATAAATTTTGATGCGAACATGATTTGATTTTCTCACTGCTTTTGTCATCCGACTTCTTCTCAGTAAATAATACCAATGTTGATGGTGGTGATAAAGGATCAATCTCTGTCTCATTCATATCACCTTAGAATCGTACACTCTTTTGCATTGTACATTGACAATCACGATTAATGTCTTTTTGTACTTTTATTACACATTAATAATATACTTATCTGAAAAACGAAACATTTCGTTCTTATTCTTACTAATGAAGTGGAACTTACATGTTGATCTTCCATGAGGAATGTTTCTTAAAACCAATATTAACGATGAAATTTATGAGTTTGCGAGGCTGAAAACTGTAGGTCTGTAGCATGTTTCATTATCAAGGTATGTGAAAAATAGGCATTACCACTTTTTTTTTGACAATAGTCACTAATAATGATATCGCTTATTCAGTCAGAAACACGATGAAGATTACTACAATGGTTGTTGTAGTGTGGTTTTAATTGACAGTCTGAATTAAACGAGAAACTAATTGTGATTTCATTCTCACTTATTTTTTCATTCTCACTTACTTTTTCATTCTCACTTATTTTTTCATTCTCACTTATTTTTTTATTCTCACTTATTTTTTCATGATGATGAGACATGTTTTTGCTTGAGTGTGTAACAGTGATCATACTTACAGCGTGAACAGCTAGTTTCTTTTTTATGCAATCTGGCCATCAGTATAACCCACCGTCACCTTTACAAATATGTAGTAAAAAATTGCGACTTTCGAATACAACTACAATGGCAAGAACTACTAACTTCGGATTTGTTTACTAACTCTATTGTTACTATAGTTGATGCTGCCTGTAACTAAGTATCGTCACCAAGTGAACGAATTGATAGGTAAACTGACGAAAGCTAGTGATAATATTTCATTGCTACAAGGTCAAATTAAGGATTTAGAGTAGTATAGTAAACAAAAAGACCTTATACCTCATGGTATACCATTTAAACAAAACGGAAAAATAGTTCACATAGTGTGAAAATTAGCGGCGACTGTTGAACAACAATTAAATAAAAATGGTTTTTATGGCATTCATCGTTTGCCATCATCTAAACGATGCGCACACAAATGCGCGAATTTTTGATGAATTAACTCTTAATTCGGTTATATACCTCTGAACGTATAATGTTGTATAACAGCTTAAACTTTCTTTCTGATCTCAGTGTTGATACATTACTTCTGAATGATATGAATTTTGATAACGATTCTATGCGCAACATTCTCAAGATAGTTACTAGTTACATAGATGGAACAAAACGATTTGATTAACGTGATAAAGTAACCAGCAGTGCACTATCTTCTAAAAATTGTTTTTACTACCACTCTCCATCATTTCATCGCAACTAATTCTTGTTTACTCACAAATGCTATAGCTGTCGTGCTTGCTATAAAACTTTCTTAAATTATATTATAAATCTTTTAATATTTCTAAACGTTCATTTTTTCTCTTTTCGTCTACTACTTTTTCACTTTTTTACTGTTTTTAATTAGTCCTACTATAATGTACAGTGAAGGTCGGTAATGGGGTTTGCCCCGATGACCTTATTGGATTGAGAATGAATAAAGACATAAAACAAAACAATTGTGATTTGAATCTTTAAATCATTTAAAATATTTTCGATAACTGAGAATATATATATATATTGGAATTGCAACGGAGAAGGAAACTAAATTATTTCAAAACATGTTTCAGTTTATTAAAACTTTTCAGTTGAAATGATATAAATATAAATGATGATTTTCAGTTATTCAATTTCGGTTTTAGTAAGCGCCGAAAATAGAGCTCTTTTTGGCGTCTTTCATTTCACAGTTTAGAGGCCTTTTGTATAGAGGATAGATAGAATAAGCCCCTCCTGAACAATTACGAATGTGTTCGTTCACCTTGAGTATTGTGTATTGCGAATGTGTATTGTGCAGTCGATGAACGTTAGCACTTAGATGTAAAGGAGTACTGGTCTCACCTATGTAGCATTCTTTGCATCTAGAGCATATGAGGCAATATATGAGATTTTGTGTATTACAATTCATATGCTGATTGGGAAATATTATTTTACCATTTTTTAGTGTAACTCTGTCTCCTTCGATGAGGGTGTGACACGTTTGGCAATTTGGTTGGTGACACCGAGAAGTAGCTGGACAATGATTAGGATATTTTTGTGTGGAAGTAAGAAGTCTGCGTAAATTTGGTGGCTGTCTGTAAGATGCGTGTATGGTGGTGTTGTGTAACAATTTGGATGTAGAAAAGACAGCTGGAGCTAGAGCACGCATAACAGATAGTAAATTGGGATTATTGGCTCCAGTTATCTTTCTACATCCAAATTGTTACACAACAC